TGCTTCTCCTAAGGGAAGCAAGTTGCACATGATTACCTGATTGGTCTAACTCCAAAATATTGTTGAGTCACCACTATAGCGGTAGCTAGGAAAACACCTGCATGCTGGCACAATAGTGTAGTAGCTAATCTTAAAAGATAACATCACACGAAGTCTCTGACCTCTACTGAAAAGACGAACAAAAAAAATAGTCCCTCATATTCATGTTTTGCTGGTGGAAGTGCAGGGTCTGTCTAACACAGGTGCTCAGCTGGATTGAGATCTTGTGGTTTTAAAAGCCACAGCCCCATTTTATATATTCATCAAACCATTCAGTGATTCCTCAAACACCTGTACAACTTGACATGTGTCACCAGGGTTGTTTTTGATATGAAAATCCTTTAGGTTTTTGCATTAATTAATTTGCTTGGAAATGCTGCCAATAGATGAACATGTTGTGTTTCAGACGAGGTGATCGGTCAGGTGTTGAGCATCATGAAGACCCAGTCTGTTCCATACACAGCCATTTACACAGCCCTGCGTCCCTCAAGGGTGAGTCAGGTGTCTGCTCTGTTAATGTGTGTATATCACTGTGTTCAGTGTTCACTGTGTTATTGTGCAGCAATTAATGTGTTCATATGCTGTTGTCTGTCTGTCTCTGCACAGGAGGCAGCGTCTCTCTCTATGGAAGCAGGTGTGGGTGGCGGACGCTCTCTGCTGCAGGCCAGAGGTGGATACAGGGAGAGGGAGAGAGAAAGGGAGAGGCAGCGCAGGATTAAAGAGAGGGCCGATATCTACGCTCCAGTGGAGTTTAAGGTGGAATGAGTTGGTTACATCTTGATTGCTACTTGGTTTTCTCTAGCCATGAAAGATAAGTGTGGAGATATTCTGTTCTGTTTTATTTTTGGCTAAAACCGGCGGTTAATTGATTTCTCTTTCCACAGGAGAGAGAGGACACCTGTATCCTCCTGTGGGCAAAAGGCCTGTCAGTGAGCATCCTCCGGAGTGGTCGCTGGGAGGAACATGACCTGACTCCATCTACCTTTGGAGAGGGTGTCAGCCCAAAACTCCACGGCTCAAACTGCGACAAAACCAAAGCAAAGTAAGTTTATGGCTGAGATTTACTTAAAAGATGAAGGAACTCACTGCTAAAGACTCTGCTTTCTGTTAGAGGTGCAACTAATGATTATTTCCATTATCATACCAATTATTTTCTCAGTGAATTAATTGTTTGGTCTAAGAATAATCTAAGAAAGAAATCTTAGAAGAAATCTAAGAAAATAGTGAAAAATGTCGATCATGGTTTCCATGGTCATTCCAAGGTGACACCTTCAAATATCTTTTTTCAAAATTATCTTCGAATCCAGATGATATTCAGTTTATAAAAATATATGACAAAGAATAGCAAGTGAATTTTGGCATTTTTGCCTAACAAAATTACTTCAACAACTATCAAATAAATGCAGATGAATTTTCTGTCAATTGACGGATAGATTCATTGGCTAACTGTTTCAGCGCTACCTTCCATGTTTCCTTCTTTTCCTGCTGCAACTTCATAGGGATTTTCCTAACAACCCAAACAACTTCCCTGCACACAGCTCTACAATGAAGCAACGGCACAAGACATTACATTAGAGATCTTTTGTGTTATTATGAGAAGTGTGAAAACATTTTTGGCAGTTTACTCTGACACAGCCTACATACAACTTTCTTTTCATTTCCTAGATCAAAATACAGCTAAACTGCACTCGTTTTACTAATGTCTTCTGTCCCACTTTGCACCTTGCTTGTATACAACATCTGAGCAATAGCACAGGGAGAGGGGGGCCGCTGTTTGCCAGGGCTGCAGCCCCAGCTAGTGGCAAGTCGCTGCATAACATCTTGTCATCATGCAATAGTCAACCAACGTTGTACACTAGGAAAAGATCAATAATTATTGGTCTCATATGTTCTCATAAGTATTGATCCGTAAAATATATTTGTGGTTTTAAGAGCCAAAAACCGTCTCAATGTAGTTGTACATCTCCTCTCTCAGGCTTCTCTCTGGAGCTCTAGTAACAACAGGTCAGTGAGCCAACCAGAAGAGAGGAGGCTCTGAGCCTCTCTTCTGATTGGCTGGCAGTTTTTTGAGTGATATAATGAAAACATAGCAGATTTCAGGTAAACACTCAGAGAAACCAAATCCTGCAAGGTTGGATGGTGGGTCCAGGTGGCCCGTACTTGGTGAATGGCTGAGGGCGGTGACTGCTTTGTTGTGACATCACAGAGTTACAAGATCCTGACAGCTCATTTTAAGGCTCAGTTTCTGAATACAGGCTGTGTGCATTTCTTGTCATAAAAGTCAATAATGTGTAGATGTTATTTCACATTTTGTCTTTATCTGAAATGTTTAAAATGAAATCTCATAATTCTATCTTGTAGTTTTCTTAGTTCCTTCTCTGTCACATTTCATGTTTGATTTTTTGCAGGTTGGTTCTTAATTATGAGAATGTACTCGGCCACCGCAGCTTTAAACTGATGTAAGTATGCACAATATACTCAGACCGGGTATATATGAACATCTAACCTATTCTTTAATTAAGAAATAGAAATAATTCAAGTGGACATAGATCAATGTAGAAACTTATCACCATCTTCTCCTGAACCCTTCAAAAATCTGCATATTTTTATGTGTGTGTGTGTGTCCAGCTTTGCTATGAGCCAGCGTCACTATAAGGTGTCTGCACGCCGCTGGTTCACACTTGACGCCGTGGAGCTGGAGTACGACGGGACCAAAGCCACGTTCAACGGCAGCAGACACGTTTATGCCCCCGCTGAATACTCGTACCGCTGTGAGTCTGTCACCAACTTCCGTTGGCCGCTACTCATCCCACGCTCATCCAAAGACCCAGCCAATCAGTGGAGAGTCTCCTTTGAGGACTTCCAGGTAAGATGGTGATTTTTTTTCTCTAATGTTATGAATTTTTGTTTTTTGCACAATATGAAAATCTGCACAAAAAGTAGATTTTTGGTCAAAAACTAATGTAGAAACGTAACATAGCACTGTCTCTATCATTAAAAGGTCAAATCTGCCAAAAAAAAAAAAAACTTAAATTGTGACATAATTAGTTAAACTACGGTCCTGTTCAGATCTGATATTAACAAGCTCTAAGTTCAGGTGTGAATGCACCCCAGACTCATTTGAGATCCGATCACTCAGACCACATTCAGAGGTGGTTTGGGCCACATGTATAACGTAATTTGTATAAATTCTGAATGATGACCAGATGTAATATCTAGGAATGAAAGCGTCCATGTAGAAAGCCAGAGGGAATGATAGAGGGTAGCCAGAGTCACAATCTGTTATGGCATAGCTATGAGAGTGACGGTGTGTTTCTGGGTTTGAATGCATTTCCTTCTTCAGAAAACATTACATTACATTACATTTTGAAACTGTATTGTTAACATCAGTCCTCCTGTTGCTCTCTAATGCACAGACATGAGCAGCATTCATTTTCTTAGTTAGTTAGTGTCATTAATCTACAGTATTGGTTGACAAATAATACTTCTGTGAAGTGTGTTAATTACTTTTTAATATTTCACATTATTTCATTATTTCAAATGTGTTTTACTATATTGTCATTCATAATAGATATGTGTTATAAACCACTAATGAAATGTTTATGTAGTGCTTGTAAATGCTACATGGGGGGGGGGGCTTAACAATAAGCCCTTACAGTGATTAACAATTAACTTCTAAATTAACTTTCCCTCCACAGATCCAGGGCTTCAATGTGACCGGCAGTGAATTCTCATATGCCAGTGACTGTGCGGGCTTCTTCTCTCCTGGTATCTGGATGGGTCTGATGACCAGTCTGCTCATGGTCCTGGTGCTCACCTACGGCCTGCACATGATCATGCAGCTCCGCACCATGGACCGCTTTGATGACCCCAAGGGCCCTGCCATCTCCGTTCCCCAGACGGAGTGACACACCTGCCATCTGTCCCCTGACTTCACCCTCCATCTTTCCTCCTCTCACTGCAATGCTTCCACTTCCACCCTTTACATTTCTCTCCCCATTCATCTCTAGTTGGACAGTACACAGAATAATTAGTGATGTTGTCAGAATAAGAGTTTATTCTTCATTATGTCAGTGTCAGTTTATACCTTTTAAAATGTGCATCCTGAGACTGAAGCATCTAGTTTTCAGGCTGCCATAGATTAAGATGTCCCCCCTGAGAGGGATACACCTGTACATAGGGGAACAAGAATAACGAATAATGATGTGAAATAAGAAAAGCTATTTATTTGTGACTCTACTGTCATTTGTCTATGTTTGTGTGTACATTTGTGGCTGTGAGTAGAACATGAAATGTAGTCGTTGAATGAAGGGAATCAATTTTGTAACTGGATGATAGAGAAATTATATCCATTACATTCCATTAACTTTAGGTCAAATGGATGTTTTAATGAACATGCAACATGAAAGAAGCACTGAGATACAACATTAAAATCAGACATTTCCAGTTGTTTCTGTATAATCCTCTTGGTTGTTTTAAGTTTTCATTTTTGAACAATATTGTTTGTCTTAATAAACATGAGTCAAGCTCTCGCAACTGACGTGCACTGAAATATGCTTAATGTGAAACTTATCTTTCTGTTTAATTTATTTTGTAGTGAATCTCAATGATGTAAGGTCTTGTTTTGTGCTGCTGCTGTGACCCCAATAAAACATCTGAGAAGAGGTTTCATTTTAATTTATTCTGTTATTCTGCTATTTTGCATTTGTTTAATACAACAATTAAGTATAGCTTTAGTTTCACAATCTATTTAGACCAACTATGCCAAAGTCAAACTCAAGTCTGGAACATCTTTCTCCTGTAACACATTAAACAAGGATCTTTGCTGGTAAATTTTAAGATTTTTATTCCAAAAAAGACCATATCTGAGGATTGGAGGATTTTCTTTCAGCAAGTTAACCACTGCAGTTTTGTACATTGAGAAAATTGTATTTTTATGTATATTATAAGGCCAGACAAGCTGTCAGTGAAAGGCAAGTTTATTTGAAGAGCACAATGAAAACAGAAAATGTTACAGGTGAATAAAATGAGCCCTAACCCTGAAAAAATAAAACTGCAGTAGAGAAAATTAATCAAAGGCACTGAAAACCAGTAATTAGTGTATATTATTTAATTCCAAGCATGTATATTGTGATGTTATTTTGGTTTTATTGATCTGGTTGAAACGGAGGATCTGCAAAAGAGAAAAGAGAAAATTCACTTTAGTTACTGACTACATAAAAATATTCTGTTCCTGCAGGAAATTTATTTCTAAACCAGCTTTTTACACATTATGCATTGAAGCTCATTCTTTACCTTGGAAATACTAGTTAGACAAACATAACCTCGACTCAAGGTCCACTTACTTGCCTTTTCAAAAGCCTTTGACCACATCATGTGGCAGTTAACATGAGCAACCTCATCCCACTGATGAAGACCATGTGATGTGGTTAAAGGCTAATGAAGACCTTTAATTACCTTTTATACACTTCATTAAACCCCCAAATGCTAACATTAGCATGCATGGCTAAGTGGCTAAGCACCTAGAGCAGTAACTTAGCATAGCTGCTACTCTTGCAGCAGGTTAATACTGCACAAGAAAAATATTTGCATCTGGGCCAATCCCCATTATGTTACACTACTGCTGTGCTCGTATTAACCTGCTGCAAGTGACCAGGTTCTGAATGCTACAATATCAGTTTAGGCTAATTTTAGCAGCAAAGTTTTTTTTTTGTTTTTTTTATTTTAATGTTAAATGTGATAATACATCCCATCATGCAGTGTTGCATGTGCAGGAGTCCAAATAAGGTTATGTCATAAAGGAATACCTTAAATTTTCCTTTTATTATAGTGTACTGTATGTAGTCCTTGCACAAAGTAACTGCCAGTACAAAAAGTACGCTGATTCTTTAACTCCACCTATAGATCATCAACTGGTGAGGATGCTGACTTTTTGGCTGGGACTTCAAGTGTGTTCACACCAGAAATATTTTGTCTTGTGTCACATGTGCAGATTATCTTAGGTACTAGCTGTAAACTAGCTAGCAATGGATGCACCAACTTTGTGTGAAAAAACCAAAACAAAACCTTTAGTGGGATGGAAAAATGGAAGAAACCTTAAGAACTGCAACAGGAGAGGGATCCTTCTTCCAGGACATTAATAACAGATAACATTAATGAAGAACTCAAAATGTTGGCATTACATCATCTATGCAGAGATTAACTGTACAGTTCTAATTATACTATTAGTCTGTATAGCTGAATTAATAGTTATCATAGGACTTAGGATGTTAAGCTTAGGGAGCTATTCACTGAGTCTGGTCCATTTTCTACAGCACAAGTTTCTTGTGTTTATCTTAAATGTGTATGTACTCAACATCATAGTTTTTCTCCCATATTGTACACACATTTGACCAAGCCTTTACGGGTCCTGAGAGAATTTGGTATTGGCTATTATCAACAGTTGATCATTTGCCCACCCACTGTAAACCTAACAAACCCATTATGACTTTTATTAGCTGTAGCAGAAGCGATGTTAATAATAGTGCATTTTGTATGATTACCATTGACTTAATGTATCAGAAACATTTCTAACTCTCTTTGGGATATTTCAACCTCACTTGGGGGCCCTCTGGTGGCCACGGGGGCTTTAAGCAGGCACTACTTACACTGACATCTGTAAGACACCTCCAGGTACTTGTAAGTGCCGACACAGGGGTCTCCAAACACTGAGTTGCTGGCTTTGACAGAGCAGCTGCTTTTCCCGTTACAGCTGTGGATGCAGAGTGATGTGGGTGAATAGAGGCTTGAATGTGCACTAAAGAATGGGAAATTTGTGCCTCAATGTATGGCATTCATCCCTCCTCTTTTACAAAAAAAGTGGGCAACTGCACCTTTCAGCCACTTTGTTAGTGGGACTTGAGCACAGCACATTTTGGACCTGATGGGCAGAACGTTGGTAAGAGCAGGTGGTCTGGTCACGGCGTCCATAATCAGCGCTGTACACTAAAATGACCTGCCCTTCATCTAACAAAAAGAGCAGGAATGGTGAGACATTAAATGAGAGTTGAAATGCTCAGAAAATATAAGTATGCATATGGCATAAAAAAACTGATCTTACCACACTGCAGGTTGGCCAAAGAGCTCTCACATGCGACAGTGTGGACTGTTAAAGAAACAAGAATCATATTAGACATATTGCTCTTATCAAACTTACTGGTTTGTTTAACTTTTAGTTGCACAGACAAACTTAACTGACTTGCTGGGAAACAGGAGTAGGTGGTGTCCAGGTATTTGTAGATGCCAAAGCAGGGATCAGAGGTACGAACAACATTTGCATTGAATTCACACACTCTCTTGCCATCACACCTGCAGCGACACGATACAGAGCTCGTTTTCTGGATTTAATCATTTAATCTGACAATTTGTACAGCATCATAAGGGTCTACAGCCACACCAGCGACTATATGAGTTTACTAATGTTGGCTGAATGTTAATGTCAACATGCTAACACGCTCAAAATAACGATGCTGGCATGCTGATGCTGAGCAGGTTTTAATGTTTTCCATGTTCACCATCTTAGTTTAATGCTAACTTTCAATAATTAGCACTAAATGCATAGAACAGCTGGGGCTGATGGGAACTTTGTTAGTTTTGCTGGTACTGTATGTGACAGTCCGAAGACCATAATTAGGACAAATAAAAATTTTGGCACTAGAAGCAAGGTTAGGACTCCATCCCCAGCCACCCTCACAAATCATCAGAACACTAATTCTGTAGGTTAACACTCAATTTAATGGGAGTAGTTATAAATTTGGCCAATGTGTTCATCTAGGCAGAAAATTACCCAGATTACAAAAAGCAAAAGTGTGTGACTGACCAATGATTATGAAAAGAATTTCCATAATAATAATAATTATTATTATTATTATTGAAATTATTGAAATATTATTTTTGCAATTCCACATTATTACAGGAGAAAGTGGAGGCTACATGCGGGCCATATAGTCATAGCAGAAAAATTTTAAATATTTATATTTAGTTATATTTATAATTACGTCTATAATTCAACAGAACATTAGGTGATTTCTCTCTCTCTCTCTCTCTCTCTCTCTCTCTCTCTCTCTGTGTGACATAGTGTACGTGTGAGTAAGAGTGGAAGAGTAATTGCACGACATGTGGAATGTTTTTAATGACTTTAGTGAATTTTAGTGGGTGTGTACCTTTTCTTGAGGATGTCCACAGTGCCCTGCTGAGAGCACTGTGTATTGGTCAGCTGGTTTGCCGGTCTGCCCTCACTGCAGGTCTCTCTGTCTGCCCGTCCATACAGAGCTTTCTCCACGGTGATCACCCCACCGTCTGCTACATACCAGAAGGGGACAAATCAAACAAAGACAGAGGGGAAAACGATGTACAGGATGAGCCTGATGATGTTCTTTATCTTGTTATATTAACAAATTTAATTAAAATGACCCAAACCAACAACTTTGACTTTTTTTTAAGGCTAAAAATTTCTCTACAACATTGTAGTTTTTGCAAAAGTTGAGGAAATAGTGCAGTTGCTTGGTACTATTTTCAGTAGCGGATTCATCCACGTTTGGTTCTTGAGGGAGTATTAGGGGCAGCAGGATGGTGTGTGTACAACTGAGTCAAAATAAACTACAGTGTGTGTGTGTGTGTGTGTGTGTGTGTGTGTGTGTGTGTGTGTGTGTGTGTGTTCATCAACATACATGTACAGCCTGATTTCTTAACTGCCACATACCACAGCTGAGGCGCTGGACGTTGTAGGGGTCATCACAGGTGATCACCCTCTCTGTGGACAGGGCAGTGGGAGTAAAATAGTTCTGGGCGCTGGAAAAGCCTGGAATGAAAAAAATGTTTTATACATTTTTACCATTTTAAAATGCTGCTGAGACCAGGTCTTAGAAGGTCTGAGAAGTGTCAGGTTATAACAGAAAACCTGTTTGAATATGATCGGATGTTTCTAGTCAGCTGGCAGCCAAACAGATGGTGAATGAGCCAGTGATAGTGATGCATGGATCTGATTGTGCCTGATTGTACAGAACACTTAGAGAACGATGGAGGTGAGGGAACTGTGTGTGAATGTGTGCGAGAATTTTTTTTAATTTGCAATTACATTAACAACCGTAGAGCAATGTGTTCAAATAATGCATGGAAATTATGTATCAAAATGAAAGTATAAGCTTAACACAAAGGAACATAATGAAAAAAGATGTGCAAGCACTGTCATACAACAATCAAACATCCATTTACCTGAAGCCGTGAGTAGACACGTTGCTGCGAGCACTGAAAGACAAACATTGTTTATTTCATTGATCTTGTTATTTCTGTGTAAATCCACTGTCACAGTGTTCTGTGAGTTAATGACAACTTCAAACAAACTGAAACCTTCACTGTTACGAGGACAGATAAGTTCAAAGGAAGCCCCACCCCTCCCAAATAAGAGATCAGAGATCCTCAGACTGAAAGGCACACGAGTCACTTTATATCTTTTTGTGGTTATTTTGTATCTATTTTAGCGACTTTGCGTCTTCTTTAGCCATTTTGTGTCAAGTCACGCTCGTTCTGTGTCTCTTTACATGTCTGTGTAGTCATCTGATTGATTGAGGCTTTGATCCAGGGGTCAATTGGCCCCTCAGGCCCCTGAGCCTTTGCCTGGTAGGGCCATTCACTAATCCAATCTACACATTTCGGGTTGACAGGTTGTTGCTGGTGTTTCTCCTCTGTCATTTCAGGCATCTGGACCTAAATCATCTCATCACTTTAACAATTGCAATTGTTGTAAAAACCATTTATGAATGACTTAAACACTAAATGTTAAATGAGGGTACAATTCAAAATGATGATAGCCCGTGACTTGCTCAAGCCTTCTGTTGGTTTATATTTTAACTTTTACTAATGACTTTAATCACATTTGTCAATACTGATTTGATGCTTGTTAACCTTTATTACTCACACATTAACATTTTTACTGCAGACTCGATGGCTTATTAGACAGGGGAGAAACTCTTCACCCTGAGTTGATAATTTGACAATGACTCAAAAGCCAGAGAGTTTATTTCAACATGTTTTTAATAGTAAATTATTTGCCATTAAAAAGCTTCTGATTCGTCTGCCCACTTGCAAAACCTTCGTGACCTACCAGGGGGCCACAGCCCATAGGTTTGGAACCACAGATCTAGAGGTCTGTGCTCTGTCCTCTGTTCTGTTGAGGTAGAATCAAAAGTTTACAAATGCGTCAAACAGTTTAATGGGCCACTTCTCAGCGACCGAACCCAAATAACACACGATTCACACTGTGTCTTCTTCAGAGTCAAACAACACTGGCGTAGGCTTTTTTAATAATAATTTAAATAACAGTCGCTCTAGATACAGACAGCAACCCCGTGTTGAGTAACATCAGCCCAATATTACTCAACACTGGGCTCTTTGCTATTGCTAGAATGTAAATGTTTGTTTGACCGTGAGGAAGACGCACTGCTCATCGTATACACCTGATCACTAAATTGTTAAAGTGAACTGTGTGCACCACAGGGTTCAGTCACTGACAAGTCACACATTTTACTGTTTGTAGTGTATTGTCCTGTTCTGAGATCACAGACCTCTGATAGGGGTGAAGAGCAAAAGATTCCTTCTGTTAACAGATGCATGTCAAAGCACAGTACAATATAAATGCTATAAAAGAGATACTGTTCTCAGATATCATAGCAGCATTGATATAATTAATGATTTTTTTTAGTAAAGAAAAGCAGGAAATCTTATCAAATCTAAATTTAAGCTTCCAGATTTATTATTTTTTTCTTTATGATTATTTTGTAGTCAGATGTGTACTCACACAGTGAGGCGCTGAGTCTGGAGCAGAGCATGGTGCCACAGGGTCTGGTTTAGGTGAAGAGCTGAACTTCTGGATGTTGAAACAGGCTCCTGGTATTTATTCTGTTGGGGTAAGAACTGTCTCTAAAAAACATGTGACGGAGGAAAACCCTTCATGCCTTCCTTATCAGTTGGAACAGATGCAAAGAGGAAAGTAAACCATGGTCACAGATAATCAAAATACCATGAAGATAAAGAAGAGTCGCATGAATTACAACACTTGAAATAAAAAGACATCTGTGAAAAAGCTCACGTTACTTTGTGACAACTGAAAAAGAGACACATTAATTCACAAAAAGCTGCCATAAGGCTTTCTTCATAATGAATCCACATAAAGCTTTTGAACATCAGTAATCATGATTTGGCAGAGAGAGAGTGTCTGAGAACAAAAAACAAACAAAACTGAGGTTTTATGGTTCAGTTCTCAGTTTGTCTTTTTATAGTTAAATAGTTTTAAAATCTCCATTGTGGTGATGTTAATGACAACAATATGCTCATATCTGCAACTCCTACAGCTTTTATCGCATTTTTAAACACATTTATTAATTCCTGATTCCTGATCATTTTTTCCTGTTCTGAAGATGTGTTTTTTATGCCCTGGTCTGAATGACTGAAGGTCCATTGTTACATCATTACAAAACTAAACTCCATTATTATGTAAGACAAGGTCAGACAAGTTTATTTGTTAAACACACAAGAGATGTTGGGGTAGTTCAGGTAATACAGATGCAGTAAAAAAAAAAGATCAAATATACAGTGTTATTCAATCATATTTAAATTGTGTTTACATTTGAATTTTATCAGGTGCATTGGTTTCTTGATTAAATTCCATACTTCTCTAGTTCTTAAATTTAATCATAGACTGAAGAAACATTTAACTGACTGAGTATGAATACTATTGAGAATATTACTGTGATTTCAATGTGTTCACACAGGATCTGCAAAAGAACAGACAGAAGATTCATGTTAAACAGCACAGCCGCAGAAATAAGTGAATATCTCATAAACCGTACATATTAATTAGTTAATGATAATTATTAATGACTTAATTTGTTTTTGTTTCACCTCAAATAAAAAATGTGGCCTCACTAAATTTACAGTCCAAAATTGAGATTGGCAGTAGTGTGTTTGCAACATTACATTAAACCCCTAAGGGCTTTTGAATCACTTACATTGACATACGTATGCCACCTCCAGGTACTTGTAAGTGCCGACACAGGGGTCTCCAAACACTGAGTTACTTGCTCTGATAGTGCAGCTGTTCTTCCCATTACAGCTGTTGGTACAGAGTGATGTGATGTTAGTGAACAACCTCCAGCTATCACTGTACTCCAGTTCCTAAGTTAATAAGGATGATTTGATTGATATTTTGAACCTGAAAATTTTAAAACAACAAAGAGTGGACAACTGTACATTTCAGCCACTTTGCTCGTGGGATTTGAGCACAGGACATATTGGATTTGAGAGGTGGGACGTTGGTAAGAGCATGTGGTCCGGTCACGGCGTCCATAATCAGCACCATACACAAATATAACCTGCCCTTCATCTGCAAAGAAGAGGAGGACAAGTCGATGAAAAGTGCTGAAATTAAATGAAAATGCTTCCGCATACATGCAAAAAAGTGGTCTTACCACAGTGCAGGAATGCTGAAGAGTGCTCACATGTAACCAAGTGATCTGTAACATAAATCAGATTAGACATCACACTATTGAAGGCTCAGTCACACCAGGAAGTGGCACATTGAAATTCATCAGTGGTGCTGGGAGCTTGGTGACATAATATCTATTGAACTTCTGCCCTGCTAACATGCACACCACCTGGAAATAAGTTTCTTCTGCTAATCACTCACAAGCTCCTTTCTATTTTCTCTGTTTGACAGTTTGTTTTTAGGACTGTCATTTCATTCAATACAGAGAGGGTCTGAAAGCTCTCTCCTAGCTGAGTAAGTTGAGGTAGTTGTACCATCAACTCCTGTCTCATAACGGTCTAAAAACTGTTGCTCTTTTGTGAAGCTTGCCTGGATGGTGCAGGATAACTGATAAACTATGATAGTTTCCTCCATTTTGGATTCTCCTGCTCCGTGTTTCCTCAGAGGTCACCTCAGTCAAGACGGCTTACTATAAATTAATGGTCCAACTCGGCAGGAAAATATTTCTCTGATTAACTGATTCCATTGGAATTTACTGACTTTGTTATTGTAAATGTTGCGGCTTTGCTTCGTTATTTATGTTATGCAGTCATGTTACTGACTTGCTGGGAAGCAGGTGTAGTTGGTCTCCAGATATTTAAAGATGCCATAGCAGGGATCAGAAGTACGGACGATGTTTGTGTTTAGTTCACACACTTTCTTGCCATCACACCTAAAGGAAACACGAAGAGGAAAAAACATTAAAACAAATGGAAAACAGTTGCTCCTATGGCTAATATCAGAGACATTTATGTTTATACCTCAGTACTTTGTATACAATAACTATTAGAGCGGTGACATGTGGTCCCCAGTGGATGACTACAGTGACTTTAGTGAGTTTTCATGTAGAGCAGTGACCAACAGGTCAAACTGCCCAAAGAGTAAGAAAACCTGACTGGGAGGACTGAACACAGACTTCAGAAGAGGTAGATTTTATGGATTTTATGGCTTTAGATGGATATAGATGAAACCAAGGTATATAATGTAATTACTGTTGAATCACAAATATTTAAAATCGCTTTTAGCTTAGAAAAAGGACAGTGAACCCGAGGGACAAGCTCATCTGTGTTTCGGACAGACTGATGGAAAAAATGCTAAATGAGTTTGAGGATAGCAGGACAACTCAAAAAGTTGAACTGATTTGCACCAAACTTGGTTGAGGGATGAGGGAAGGGCCAGGGAAGAACCCATTAGATTTTGTGGTAGATCTGGATCATTCACAATGAATTTGGATTTTTTGTCTTGGGTGGATGTATATAGAGCCACACAACCAAAGGTCAGATCAGATTAATTACAGATGTGACACATAACATGATAAGAAAAAGTCCAGGTAAACAGTCTGTCCAGTTACAAGGAAAAACTAGAGAAGGAAGCCCAAGACAAGAGTCAGATTCAGCCTTATACTGTACATACAAGATTGTGCCAGGCTGTGAGGACATTGGTCCTAAAATGTTGGAGATTAATCAAAATTACCATGTTTTTAATAGTGTAAAGATAATCTGTTGGATAAGTAATTTTACCCTCAGACATCTGCAGCTCCCATTGGCCAAGCACAAGATGTCTGGTGATGGACTGAGTTTTCTAAATGCTTCCAAGCTCTCGCACATTTGACATGGTGTTTTTTTATTTCAAAGCTCAGTGATGCTGAATCAAAAACACTGACCTGGTTTTGAAATGCAACAGAATACATGTCGATGTTATGAATTTCACTGGTTGTTTACCTTTTCCTGAGGATGTCCACAGTCCCATGCTGAGAGCACTTTGTGTTGCTAAGCTGTTGTGGAGGTTTTCCTTCACTGCAGGTCTCTCTGTCTGCTCGTCCATACAGAGCAGCCTTCACTCTGATCACTCCAGTGTCTGTTACAACAAAGAGTGAAAGGTCTTGACCTTACTCTGTAAAGTGCCGTGAGATAATGTATGCTGTTTGGCATTAGGTAAATAAAACTGAATTGACTTGACTTGAATTGTAAAGGAAGGCTGTTATTTTGTTCTGACCAATCAGTGGCAAGTTACAGATCTGTCCCACTAACACCAACTTATGACTAAGAGCAAATAAACTTTCAGTCCTGTAAAATAAAAAAAGAGCATCTAGGTCGTTTGTGCAGCAGGTTATATGACCCATAGTTATGTTTTGTTGTTAGGCAACATCTAGTGGTCGTAGGAATTACAGCAGGAACATGACGTAGTATAAAGAAAACGAGTCCATATCAGGAAGAGGTTGTGGTGATTTCTTTTCCCATGTGAAAGTAGCAGTTTATGTCGTTTCTTTTATTCATGACTGTTCGACAAAGTTAACCACATTGTTATTATTGTAACCATGACAACAAAGATGGTCTAATATTGAGGAAGTACTTATGTGAACCCAAATCATGATCTTTTCCTAAACCTAACCAAGCCATGGCCGTTTTTATAGTAACCATGGTAACGAAGGTACGTACACCGCTCTCGTTCCGCCTTTTTATTTTTGTAACAAGAGATGGGATTTATGGCTCTTTGGGGGGAGCCGGATCTTTGGGATCCGTTCATTTCAAAGAGCCATTCAAAAGACTGGCTCATTTGGCTCATTTTTATATTTATTCACTTTTAAGAAGCCAGCCTGGGGTTAATTCATTTTATCCTGGAAATAATCACAGGGAGGAATGATGGGCTGAGATTTGGATCAGAATAATTTCGAACTCAGATTTCCCACCAATATTTGAGTTTGAATTATTCTGAAATATTGATTATAGCTTCATTTGACTTGTGTGGACAAGATTTTAAAGTCTGATATGGATTCATTGTAAATATTCCACTGAGTTGACAGTGAGATCACTATTTACCCTTTGTATAAAGTGTGTGTATGTGTGTAAAACTACTTTGACTTATGTTATTCATGCAACACCTAAACACTTATAAATACACAATAAAAAACAAAGCAGGCTACAATGAAGTTCCATGCAAAAGCTTTTAGTGCAAAATTTCCACACAAAAACGTTTTTAACAATACAGAAAAACTCAAAACAATATTTTAAAATTATATAATAAAGGCTTATAATAAAGATTAAAGGTGCTGTAAAAAAAATACTAAGTTGTTGGTCAGTAACACCATGTCTTGTTTTAGTGCAAATTTTAGAGAAAAACGTTTCACACAAGAATATTTTGATAGAAAACTCAAAAACAACACTTCAAGTATTAGAAAAATAGATAAAACTACAATAAATTAGAGAAAAAATGTGCATACAGCCCACTAGTACTACTAATACAAAAAAAAAAAAGAACGGCTCCCAACCAAACGCGACTTGGTTCCCATCGTTCATGTTAATGAGCCAGTCAAAAGATTCGGTTCGTTCGTGAACGTCACAACTCTATTTGTAACGCTGACAACTGAGGTTCGATACGCCTGGCACTGTAGCGGCGCTATTTCAGAGAGTTCATTAGAGAGTTGAAAAAAAAACGACCTATATGGTTGTTCAACCCGCAACATTGATTTGGTCAGTTTGTTTACATCTTCCAGCTTAAATGTAGCATTCACAAGCTTTAGAGTTCAGTCATACCACAACTTAGACGTTGGACGTCGTTGCCATTGTCACAGGTGATAACTGTTTCTGTGGACACATCTAAAAAAAAAAAAAAAACATGTGGAAGTGTGAGTTAAAATGTGGTCAAGACATGTATTTTTAAAAGAAAAACTGTAATGACTACAATACTAGATTGACTCTATATTTACCTGCTGTCACGAGCAAACAGGTCACTGCCAATACTGAAAAAGAAACTGTCAAACAGATATAGCTTACTTAAACTGGATTTACAACATGCAAATAGCAATGAAAATGTATTTCAGCAGGAGCCATGGTTAGTTGGTCCATTACATCTATCCAGACTAAAACATTTAGATGGATTGACATGTAAATATAACACTCGAGGACGTTGTTGATCCTCCGGCTATCATCAGTTCATATTTACAGTTTGTCCAACACTTGGTTTATGTTCAAATACCAATAGAACCAATCACATCAGCTTTACTTTGTGTTCAGTGCTAATCAGCTCATTAGCTCAAGACATACACACAGGGCTGTAGACTTACACTGGACTTCATATCAGACAGATGACAGTGCGAAAAACTTAATTCATTTCATTTACATATTATCTATCTCATAACAGTTACTCCATCCAGCATCCTAAAGCTCCAATCTATAAAGTATAATAAAGGGACTCAGCCTCTTCAACAACAAAGCAGACATTTTATCCAATCAAAATTCATAGAATAACTTATGTAAACCCAGTAATTATTTTCCCAGACAGTCGTATACTCACACAGTGTGCTGCTGAGTCTGAAGTGGAGCATGGTTTCAGTAACAGGTGAACAGTCGGACTGAATGTAGTTGAATGGACACACCAGTATTTATTCTGCCAGGTTGACATTTAAACGTGTTTTACAGTATATGACAAACAACAAACCAGCTGGCTCCTGGCTGTGTTAAAATATAAACTCGCAATCAAAGCCAGACTGTATGACTTTCTGGGTGTATCCAAACTTTGATAAAAGATAATAGATGACTCATTTATCCAATATTATCAGAAGGAGGAAGACGGAAGGAGACTTCTACAGAATTCCCATTGTACTCATCATGAACCTCTCCCTCTGTTCAACTGTGTTTTTGCAGCCTATGAACATAAAATTACTGACTTGTGGATCTTTATAATCATAAATCTACTTGCTCCACAACATGCATTTTTCAAAAGGAGTGTATATACGTTATATTCAGAAAGTCTTCAGACCCCTTCACTTTCTTCACATTTTATTGTGATTCAGCCTTGTGCTAAAATCCTTTAAATTCATTTTTTTTCCTCATCAATTTTCACTCAATCCCCATAATGATAAAGCCAAAACTGAATTTTAGAAACTTTTTCAAATGTATCAAAACAGAAAAACTGAAATATCATGTTGACATAAGTAGTCAGACACTTTGATATGACACTTGAAATTTAGCTCAGGTTCTTCCCATTTCTCTTGATCATCTTTGAGATGTTTCTACACCTTGATTGGAGTCCACCTGTGGTAAATCCAGTTGATTTGACATGATTTGGTCTCACAGCTGACAATGCTGATCAGAGCAAAAACCAAGACATGAGGAGGGAGGAACTGCCTGCAGAGCTCAGAAACAGGATTGTGTTGAGGTACAGATCTGGTAAATGGACTACATTGTGCTTTTCTACTCAACCACTCAAAGCTCCTTACAGTTTGTCACAAACATTTACTAGGACTCAAGGATAAACTGATTAGATTTTGGTGGTCAAAGGTCAAGGTCACGGTGACCCCAGAAAACACTTTTTACCCATTAATCAAGACTTCACATAGTAATCATGACAAAATTTCACAAAAATGGTTAATATTTTATATGACTGGATAAATAGGGGTGTAATCTGAAACTAGGCTGAAAGGAGCAGTGTGGACAGATAACCGGTCACTGAAAGGTCTGAGAGGAAAAATTAAAAAGCAACAATGAAAGGTTCATATACAACAACTGCAATAAAGGTTGGTCTACCCTTCATTAGTGAGATTACAGTCTTTTATTTTTCTAATATTTAGTATGTCTGCCTTCATGTCTGATGATGGATTCGATCCTCCTGGGCATGAATGATACCAGTCTTACACATATCTGTAAAGAGATGTTCTACCATTCTCCCCAGTCATGCAGCTTCATATCAGCTCACTCCCTCCTCCATGTTTCACTGTGCAGTCACTGTGGTGGTGCAAACATGCTGGACCCCATCTGATCCAAACTAGGCCAGACAAGTTGTCAATGCAAGACAAGTTTATTCAAACAGTAATTTTTAAACATAAAGAATTACAGTTTAATGGAAGTAAATAAAAAAAGATAAATGAAACTGCAGTAGAAAAGATTTATCAAAAGGTACTGTGAACCAGTTTACTTCATTCCAAGCATGTATACTGTGATGTCATTTTGGTTTTAGCGATCTGGTTATAATTCAGGATCTGCAAAAGAACAGATTAAATATTGACTTTAGTTACTGACAACACAAAAATGCGGGATAATGTTTTCTAAACCAGCATTTTACACACTGTACATCGAAGTTCATTCTTGACCTTTGAAATATTAATTAGACAAAAATAATCTTGACTCAACGTCCATTTAGTTGCTTTTTCAAAAGCCTCTGACCACATCTCATGTGGCAGTTAAAAACATGAGCAAACTCATCCCACTGATGAACACCATGTGATGTAGTTAGTTATTAAACTCCAAAATGCTAACATTAGCATGTCTGGTGAGAGAAGTAACTTATAGTAATAGTAAATTAGTGTTATTATTAAAGCCAAGCAGCATATCAAGTGTTAACATTTACTTTGAAGGGTTACAGGTCACATTAGAAAAAGCCCAGGTAAAGACTGGAACATCCACTCTGCGGTACTAACTGACCGTGAGCGACCAGGTCCTGAATGTTACTGTATCAGTTTAGGCTAATGTTAGCAGCTCTGCTAGCGAACGTAACATTCGACATGGTTTTTTTTGTGTGTTTTAATGTTAAAATTGAATATACAATCCCATCATGCTGCGTTGCCGGTATGTTTTTCAATAAACAATGAGTCCAAAGAGCCTTTGTCATAAATAAATACCTTAAACTTTCCTTTATTGTATTGTTCTGTATGTAATCCTCCCTCGACCTACATTGTATATTTTTTTGACTTGTGTTCTTACATCATCCCAAATGTTTCCAGAGAAATACATGATAATACATGGTAACACTCCGTTTCATTTGGTCGCCTGTTAATGATGTCATATCCCCTATGTGCATGTGTCATTGTTGTGGTTGCCACAAGCTCAAAATTGACTTTGATCTAGTTTTAAGTCACATTTTTAAGATTAAATTTTTAGACCTTGGGTGTTTCTAGCTATATGTTTTAATTGGATGGAGGATTTTAGTCATTGGACATCTGGATCTTAAGTTATCAGAGAAAAAAGCTGAGTAAATGTTAGGCGGCTTGGCTGTCAGCCCTTCCAAGACGTCCTGTGTCCACCAAACAACGTAGGCGAATGACTGATCTTTAAAGTGAAGCTACTGTATTCGTTGTTTCTACTGGTTTTAATCTCCTGGTCCGTTAGTTAGGGAGAGGAGAACACCTCTGTGGATAATTCAGCTGCTGGTGAAAACCTCCAGAATGTCTGGTTCATAACGTTCAAAACAAAAGTTAGCAGCAGTCTCAGCTCCCAGCCCTTCCCTGATGTCTCATGTCCGCTGGAAAGCATCAGTGAAACACTGACTTTAAATGTGTGACTGCTTTATTCAGTGTTTGTACTGGTTATAATCACTTTCATAATCAATTTCAAGCTCTTTTTGGGACATTTCAAATGCTCCTGGGGGCCCTCTGGTGAACACATGGGCTCTAAGCAGGCGCTGAGTTTGCTCTGTGTATACTGCATGATATTTTGCTCTTTAGGGCCATAGACTAGCTTTAGTAGAGTGAAACAGCCCAGAAAGGCCTTTGAGATACTTACATTGACATCTGTAGTTCACCTCCAGGTACTTGTAAGTGCCAGAACAGGTGTCTCCAAACACTGAGTTGCTTGCTCTGATAGAGCAGCTGTTTTTCTCGTTACAGCTGTGGATGCAGAGTGATGTAAGTGAATACAGGCTTGAATGTGCACTAAAGAATGGGAAATTTGTGCGTCAATGTATGGCTCCTGTTTTACAAAAAAGTGGGCAACTGCACCTGTCAGCCACTTCGTCAGTGGGACCGGAGCACATGACATTTTGGACCTGAGAGGCAGGACGTTCATAAGAGCAGGTGGTCTTGTCCATGCGTCCATAATTAGCGTTGTACACAAAAATAACCTTCCCTTGATCTGACAAAGAGAGGAGGAACGGCAATACATTAGATCAGTGTTGAAATGCTCAGAAAATATAAGTATGCATATGTTTATCACATTCAAAAAAATCTCAGATCTTACCACACTGCAGGTTGGCCAAAGAGTTCTCACATGTCACAGTTTTGACTGTTAAAGTAACACGAATCACATTAGACATATTGCCCTTATCAAACTTATTGGTTTGTTTAACTTTTAATTACACACACAAACATAACTGACCAGCTGGAAAGCAGGAGTAGGTGGTGTCCAGGTATTTGTAGATGCCAACGCAGGGATCAGAGGTACGGACGACAGCCATGTTGTATTCGCAAACTTTCTTGCCATCACATCTGCAGTGAGACGATACAGAGCTCGTTTCTGGATTTAATCAATTACAGTCTGTATAGCACAGTGTCCTTACGACTTCAATAAGTCTAAGGGACTACATGAAATTTACTGTGGTGAGGGGGATGGGGGATGGGAGGGGTGCTGAAGCTAATATTTATTTTCATAAAAACAACAAAAGGAAATTTTGGCACTGGAACTAAAGTTAGGAGATCATCGAGTTATTAAAGTTCATCCACCAAATATTAATGGCGATTATTTCAATATACCTATGTTAGTCTATAATCTCTTTCCTCATACTTCATGTGCTGCATTAGTCGTACTACTTGTGACATAGTGTACATATGAGTAAGAGAGGAAGAGTAATTACACGATATGTGGAGTGTCTTTTCACATTTTAGTGGGTGTGTACCTTGACTTGAGGACGTCCACAGTGCCCTCCTGAGAGCACTGTGTATCGGCCAGCTGTTCTGCAGGTTTGCTCTCACTGCAGGTCTCGCTGTCTGAACGTCCATACAGAGCTGTCTCCACACCAATCAGTCCGTCCGCTACACACCACAGAGGGAAAAATCAAACAAGGACAGAGAGGAAACACTTTAAATAGAGTCAGAGAGAAAAGATGTACTAGAGGAAAACTTTCAAGATGAAGCTGATGATATTCTTTATTTTTATATTAACAATATTAACAACAAATTTCACTAAAATGACCCAAACTAAAAACTTTGACTTTTTTAAAGTCTAAAACATTTCCCTACAACTCTGTAGGTTTTAGAAATGTTGAGGAAGTAGTGCAGTTGCTTGGAACTATTTTCAGCAGCGGATTAATCCACATTTAGTGCTTTTGTGAGTATTTGGGGCAGCATTGTGTTTCCGAACTCCGTTTACATGCACAGCCTGATTTCTTAACTGCCACTTACCACAGCTGAGGCGCTGGACGTTTTTGTTGTCATCACAGGTGATCACCCTGTGTGTGGACAGGGGGGCCACAATCAAACAGTTGTGGGTGTTCATTAAGCCTGGAATGAAAAGTTTGTTTTATAAATTATTAGTTCAATACATTTTTAAAATGCTGCTGAGACCAGATCTTAACAGTGAGAAGTGTCAGGTTATAACAGAAAACCTGCGTGAATATTATTGGATGTTTCTCGTCAGCTGGCAGCCAAACAGATGGTGAATGAGCCATTGATAGTGATGCATGAATCAAACAGATAATGCCAATCAGCTAATTCAAGTGTGACTTCAGTGCTCCTCTTTTTCAAGTGTCGTATACAGAAATTTAAACAATGGAGCTGTGAGAACTGTACAGCACAGTAACAACAATAGAACAATGTGTTGGCTCAATTATTTGTATGAATGTTCAATTTACCTGAAGCAGTGAGTAGACATGTTGCTGCGAGCACTGAAAGTGAAAAATCATTGGACATAGTTTATTTCATTGATCTTATTATTTCTGGGTAAATCCACTTCAACAGTAATCTGTGAGTTAATGACAACAACTTCAAACAAGCTGAAACCTTCACTGTTATGGTGACAGATATGTAAAAGGAAGCCCCACACCTCCCAAATACGAGCAAAAGTCACTTTGTATGTATTTCTTTGTGGTTATTTTGTATTGTGCTCTACCCGGTGAGCTGAGATCTCATAAGCTGTTAAGAACTTAAACCCAGTAATTGTTGTTACAGTCATGTACTCACACAGTGTGCTGCTGAGTCTGAAGTGGAGCATGGTTTCAGTAGCAGGTGAAGAGCCGGACTGAATTCAGATGAGCTTGACACCTGTATTTATTCTGCCTGGTAGAAGTCTTTACTTGCATTATAGAAATTGGCTACCATCCAGCTGCTTTTAAATGTATATGCAAAGTTAAAGATGGAATGTATTAATTACTGGGTATATCAAATTAAGTACCTTAAAGTATTTGTTTGCTGTGTCACTCACGCAATATATCCAGTGTGTTCCTGGCTTAGTATCACATTTATCAGCTCTACTCTAACAGCCTGCCCTGGACTCAAACCATCACAGCAACTATCAAACATCTGAAATAATGATCAAAATGATCCAGCTCCATAAACAGAAAAACCTGTGCTTGGTCATTAGAAGTTCATCCGCCAGGTCCTGCTTGCAGCAAAGTCATTAATAACACTGATCAAGTCAAAATTCGTGCCTCTGCCGTCCTCTTGTCACAAATTTTCTCTCTCCTAAGTATGCACATTTTTCAAAAGGAGTGTATGTACATTACATTCAGAAAGTCTTCCCTTCACTTTCTTCACATTTTCTCATGTTTTGAGAAAATGCTTATCTCAAAACATGAGACATGGTCTCAAAGCTGACAATGCTGATCAGAACAAACCAACACGAGGAGGAAGTAGCAGACTGCAGAGCTCAGAGACAGGATTGTGTTGAGGCACAGATCTGGTAAATGGACTTTATAGCACTTTACTAGTCAACCACTCAAACCCCTTTGTAATGGAAGCCACATTCACCCATTCACACATGCTTTTCCCTAAATTTTGGGGTTCGGTATCTTGTCCAAAGACACTTTCGAAAATGCAGACTCGAGGAGCTGGGAATCAAACCATCAACCTTCCAATTAGTGGACAACCTACTCTACCTCCTGACCTCACCTGCCTCTGGGGAAGGCTACAGAAAAATTTCTGGTGCACTGAAAGTTCCCAAGGGCACAGTGGCCTCCAATATTGTTTAAAGAGGCCAAAACCTCAGCAACTTGTCTTTGTCTAATCACAGGATTATGTTTAACCATTGTATTGAGTCATATATCGGAAAGACCAAAGTATTAATTCAATTCAATTCTATTTTTTTATAGCGCCAAATCATAACAAACATTATTTCAAGGCACTTTACAAGGTAAGATCAAGACCGTACAATATTATGGAGAGAAACCCAACAGTTCCCACAATGAGCAAGCGCTTGGCGACAGCGGGGAGATAAACTCCCTTTTAACAGGAAGAAACCTCCAACAGATCTGGACTCATGGTGGGCAGCTGTCAACCTCAACTGATTTGTTATTTAAACATTTCTTAACAATAGTACAGTATGTGATAGTTGTTGAAAAATTGAACTTAAAGCCACAAAAGTCAACCTGATCGCAATGCTAGAGGAGAAGTCAGGGGATCAACACCCTCTGTGGGCTTTATCCTCTGGAGAATAACAATGTCTCTACAAAATATCACGGCAATTATTTCATAGTTATAGTATAATATTCATAATATAGTTACAATATTTCAGTCTTAAGCAACTTAGAAGACAAACATTGCTATGCCACTATAGGAAGAACACAGAAGGAAGTGTTAGGGTGTTTTTTTCCACTGTCCCTGCTGAGCTTTGTGGTATGTCTACAATGAGGAAGTCACCTGTCACAATGGCACTTATGTTGTTCCACCCAAGTTTGAATGCGAAAAAAACATTTTGTGCTGACTTCATTTAGGTCAGACACCTCCTTGTACCTTCACTTGCTCGGCATATGCAAATTTACCTGCTTACCTCATGTAGGATTTACAGCATTTAAAAAAAGCAATTTTTCTGGGCATTTATTAAATCTTCCAAAGTATTAATAAGTGCCATTTTAGGGATCCAAGCACCACGAGAAGAGAAGGTAACCTTGTAGAAAGATAAGTAAGTACAGTAAGAAATTTACAATCCCCAGGCTTAAAATTCTGTGACGTACATCACTAATAGAAAACTAAAGCTAAAGATTACACTTGCTAGAAGCTGATTATACATTGAACAACTGAAATCAACTCACTTTTTGTATTCTGGTATGAATCAGTGGATTCTACGAATACAGCAACTAGTATACTAAAAGTAGCCTACACTATTATACTTTTATATTTAACGATTTAATACATGCACTACAATTAAAAAATCTAATTAGGTCATCCTATAGTCCAAATGAATGTTTGTGACAAATTTGAAGAAGTTCCCTCGAGTTGTTACTGAGACATCGTGTTCATGAAAATGGGACAGAGAGACAGACGACCTGAAAACATAATGTTAGGTAAAGCATAATGATGTAAGGATACCTGGAGGCAGCTGGATATGTTGCGTTGTTCTCAAAAATGTACAAAAAATATTTTGCATGTCTTTTCCTGTCGCAAGAGGGAAATCTCCATGTCCCCAGTAGTTAGTTTATCTTAAGTCATTGAGGCTTACAGTTTGTTTCGTTTTATGTCTTTGCACAGATGGCATCACATTTTCACTCCTTTTTCCTCTTGTGTTTGATCAGTGGACTGTTGATTGTAGGAACTGTAAGTAAAACTCTCTCTGATAGTTCTAGATTAAGCTAGTTCTAGAGCTGTGGCTCCTTTGTCTGATTACGATAAAGAAAATGTGTTTTTGTGTTAAAACAAGACAATGCTGAAGAATATGCCCTCTACAATACTTATACCTGATGTGTAGTAAACAGCAGTATTCAGATTTTTTTACATTCGTCCTCTGGGACAAAACGACGAATGGCAGGAAAAGTGAAAATTAAATTAACAGCAGGGAAATGCACACATCCACTCACACAATTAAAACCTACCAAGGTTTTGAGTGCACCATAACTTTTAAGTTTCCTCAACAAATGCAAATTAAATGTCCACTGTGTAGCGTTAACGCCATAATTTAGAATTTACTCTCGTTGAAATGGGGCACCAGTCCTCTAGGAGGACAACAATGAATTACTTCATTGCCAAATTTATCAATCTCATATCGGAAGCCATGACTTCTCGATTCAATGGATCTCCAGTCTCTACGTCAAAAGAATACAACAGGACAACAACTGGGTGTAAATAAAAGAGTTTATTAACTAAACTACTAGCTACAGAGTAAATGCAAGGTGTAATAATCATAAAGATGAAAATAATAATGAAATGAGCAGGGTGATGAGTTGGCAATGGTGGGAGAGGATATGTTATGGCTATACACTGTGGCTATACAGCTAATGACACTACATCTACGAATTAGGTTTGATGATTAAATATTGCTATATTTCGACATTGACCTAGTCATGAGCAGAGTGTTAAGACCGGCCTACTGTGAGTTGCGCTGTAGCTGAAGACCCTCGGCTGGAACCCAGGTGGCTGTGGTTGCCGTGGTAACTAGGTGGATTCTCCTGGAGGCCGTGTCCCGTTATCACGATGACGGATTCTGCCGGTGTCTCAGCGGTTCAGCTCTGGTGGAGTTTGCCAGGAGACTTTCTGTCTCGGGCACTCTTGATTTCTGCTCAGCTTCTCTGCAGGCGGTCGTGCAGATGTTATCTGCTGGTGTCTCTTGTGGGTTGATGCGAAATAAACTCTAATGCTCTTCACTTTGGTTGGATAACTTTAGAGGACACTGGCATTGACCAGATGACTCTAACATTGGTTGTCAAAATCTTCAAAAAGGAAAACTTGATGATGATTAAAAGTTACAAAATTACTCTGAGGCACTTCTGTTGCTTTGGTTCAGTTGGTCTTGACTTGGCTTATAAAAATAAAAGATCGCGCATGAGATAGATAAAATCATGTTACTTGGAGCTTGTGGCAAAGAAAAATAAAAGACGCGAAAAGTGCAACAATGACTAAGAGCCATGAGTTTGTGGCTAGCAGCTTAGAGCTAAGAGTTTCCATGGCTACAGAGCCGGGCTTTGAGCCGGGACTCTGAGCTTTGAGCAAAGATCTCAGCTTATAGTTTCTGCATCGTTTCTCGCTTCTCGCACTTCTTGTCATCTGGGTTTCTCTTTTTCTTCTTCTGAGCTCTTCTGGCCTGTTCTGAACTGACATCTGACCTCTCCTCACCTTTCAGGCTTTTCTTGCACTTCTCCGACTTTGTACTTTGTGTGAATTGATCGCGACTGTTTTATCCCCTGGGGGCTGGCGCATGTTTCAGGGGCGTCACCCGTCATTCTCTGTGTTTCCACTTGGAGGAGAGAGTAATTTTCCACTGAACTTTGGAATAATTTAATTTCTAGAGTTTACTTATAAACTCGCACATCCGTCTTCCACCATGACCACAAAACATTAAATGAAAATATAAAACTACTTGCACTAATAATGGCAGAGAGGAGTAATAGGAGTGTTGATTTCATATTACATCCTTCAAACCTGGAATTAATCATGATACAAGTGGTTAATTGATCAAACAACAATATAAACATTTCCCAAAGCTAACAGGCTATAAATGTGGATTACACAGCAGTTCTTAATAATAATATGGACATGCTGGATGTCATGTAGTGTTTGTTACCTCGTGTGAAGGATGCTGACAGTATGGTCACATGAAGGACATTGTCTTAAAATCTACATGTTACCTTCAAACATTCTATGGGATAGAAGTTTGGGATTGAACTATTACATAGGAAAATCTCATGAGTTACAGAACAGCTAGATATTTAATTTTACATTCTTCCTCAGATCTGTGTCTGTGAAGAGAGTTCTGCTGGTCACTACCCAGGATTGGAATGTGGGTTGTAGTTTATGACTCTTACTAGAGAGGGACAGAGGAAGGGAGGTGGTGTGTGTGTTCATGCATGGCACAGACAGCCACGATTCATACCTTAGTGTTAATCAGTCCTTTTGTTGTTACTTGTTCCTATACAAGAAACAATCAAATATTCCTAGACAAAGTCTTATTGTTACAAACTGGAGATTTTGCCTATATTCTCCAGTTGTCTGGTGTCCATTGGTTAATCCTCTGGAGGTGACCCTTTGACCTTTGGTCTGGTTCTGTGTCGTTCAGACATGCTAACAGCATGGTCTGTTTGTGGAAGAGGGGTCCTTTGTCTCTGTTTTCTATCAATATTTATAGTTTGATGGTGGGGAAGAGTCGCAAAGTGTCAATTGTGGGTCCGTAACTCTGCATGTCCTTACAATGAACTTCCTTAATGGCTTGTGACTGAATGCCAGGCCAGGTATGTACACTACAACTCAGTGACGTGCGGTGAGGTTCATGGCTGGTGAGGCACTGACTTCATCACTAGCGCCCTCTACCATGAGGCAGGAGAACTGCGTGCCTCACCCAGTGCGTCTTCGCAGCCGTTTTATGATGCTCAGCCACAAGAAAACACGTTACACACATACAGTTGTTGATAAAATACACTGTACATTATATACCTCAGCTAACTAAACTATGGAAATTTATAATATAATTCATATAGCAAAAGTGTTTGAACATTTTAATAGCGACATACAGAGAGATAAGCAATACGGTTCA